GCTCCTTCCGCCCTTGGCCCCACCCTCTTCCCCACAGGCCCCACCCTCACCGGCTCAGCTCGCGCTCTCCCGTCTGACCCCGCCCCCGCCCAACCATCCGACTTCCTAGCCCCGCCCCTTTCTTCGCTAGCTCCGCCCCTTCCGTCAAACCGAGTCACCGAACTGGCCCCGCTGTCTCTTTAGCTCTCCACTGGCTCCTTCCACCTGCTGCTGGCCCCGCCCCTTTCCTGTTGGCCGTGCCTATTACAAGCCACTTTAGTTCCTCACTGTCTCCTCCCCACCCCCGATGGGGAAGTCTAGGGGTGACCAGAGAGCAAGTGTGGAAACCCGGGGAGAGGTGTTTAGAAGACAAAGTCCCAAATATGGAGACTGGCCCTATCCCAGCGGGGCAGCTGGTCAGCCCAGGGCAGATGACAGCCTGAGTGGCAGGGAAAGGGTGGAGCTCTGGTGCCAGCAGGGCAGGAGAAAGGGCAAGCTGGGGATGGAGTGGCTGGGTTCAGGAGAGGGAGTGTGGTTAGAGGGGAAGAGGACAGGGCCTGGTGGCTGAGGGTGGAAGGACATCAGGGAAAAGGGGTGGGCATGGGGGGAAGGTGAATGTCCCAAGAACCTTAGGGAAGAGCAGGTGGGGTCAGGAAAGCCGGGAAGAGTGAAGGAGTGGTGAGGTGGGGTCAGGGCAGGCAGGAAGGGGGAAAAGCCATGGGAGTGGGAGCTAGTATGGAAAGAGACCAGGCTAAGAGAGTAATGGCTGGACTGGGTGTGAAAGGGCGGGACCAGGAGAATGGGGATGGTGCTGATTGAAATGGTGCCTGGCAGGGCTGGCAGAAAATGGACAGGCCATTCAGTTTTAGACTGCTTAGGGAAGGTGGAAGCTCCTTCGCTGGAGTTTTTCAAAAGGAGGCTGGGGAATCATCTGGCTGGATGGTTAGACACAACAAATCTTGGAAGAGAGTTTGACTAGGTGACCTGTGTTTCTATGATTAGGGCTTTATCAAATTTGCGGTATGTTTTGGTCGATGTCAAGGTCATAGGATTTTAAAAATCATAAATATAATGATTTCAGCTACTTCACCTCCAAATTTTAGGGTGTTGTACTTTTAGGGGGCCTGACCCAAAAAGAAGTTGGGAGAGGGCACAAAATTATTGTAGAGGAGGCTGCGGTGCTGCTACCTTACTTCTGCATTGGGCTGGGACATCAGAAAGTGGCAGTTTCTGGCTGCAACCCTAGTTCTGAAGGCAGAGTCGTCACCAACAGCAGCGCAGGAGTAAGGGTGGCAATACTATACTATGCTACCTTTAGTTCTGCACTGCTGCCTGCAGAGCTCAGTCAGCTGCTGCCACCCTCTGGTCACCCAGCTGTCAAGGCAGCGGTGCAGACATAAGGGTGGCACAGTATAGTATTGTCACCCTTACATCTATGCTCCACTGACAGGGTGCTGCCTTCAGAGATGGATGCCCGACCAACAACTGCTGCTTTCTGACTGCCCAGCTCAGAAGGCAGCACAGAAGTACGGATAGCAGTACTGCGAGCCCCCTAAAATAATCTTGTGACTCCCTGCAACTCCCTTTTGAGTCATGCCCCCTATTTGAGAACTGTTGGTCTTCCCAGTGGAATCTGTATAGTGTAGGGTAAAAGTGACACATTTTTCATGGCTGTAAATTTCGTAAGGCCCTAGCTATGATGCTGTACTAGAGTGGCATTAAATACAGTGGTGTGTAGAGTGGGGTCAAGGCCCCATTTCCACAAATGGGGACTTCAGTGGGGCACCCAGCCCTGACTCCCCTCTACCCAGTCAAGGTGAGACACTTTGTCCCCTGCAGGTTTGCTGGCTTCCGGGCAGGCTGAGATCGAGAACCATCTGGAAATGGGGCGCAAGCTGCTGGCAGCTGGTCAGCTGGCTGAAGCACTGTCTCATTATCACTCAGCCGTAGGTAAGTACGAAGAGAGAAGGGGATGTCACCAGCTAGCCTGGGAGCGTGTCAGACCGGAGTGACAATAGCCTCCTCCACACTTACAGCTGTGCCAGGCAGGCATGGGGCATATGGGACTCCCTGGAGGAAGCAGACAGGAGCTTGGCACCAGGGAGGGTTGTTTGGCACAGAAGGAACTACTCAGGATGGCTATGGGTCAGTTTCATGAATGGGGCATTGAAGTTGGTGGGAAGCAGGTAGTGAAATGGGCTATTTCATGGGCATGTAGGAATGGTCAGCTCAGACATAAGGCCCATGTAGCAGTATACCAGCAGTGGGCAACCTGCAGCCTATTGGGGCTCTGTGTGTGATGCAGGAGACATTTTGTTTATTGTTGCTAAATTGAACTGGTTTCTTTCCATGTAGTTTTTCCTATTGGTATTATTAAAGTGACACACATGTAAAGCAAGGGCATGTAAAGTGAGATGCATGCTGATTGCACACACACTGACTGTGAGAGCTGTGTGCTCCCTCTGCATCCAATCAAAGCACTCCTACAGTTCAATCGACACCCCCACAAATTCTAGATACATGAGCACACTTGGCAAAACTACCTCTCCTAAGAGACGATCTTCATTACAACAATCTTACAGGCCACTGAGATGAAGAAGTGCCACTCTTGCAGCTCACTCACTAGCCGAGGTAGCCCATCACTGCAGTATACTCTCTCCAACACTGCATGCTTTGGAGGAAGGTGTACGTACCCTGCAGTAGCAAGTAGGCAAATGTTGTTCCCATATCAGCTGGTGTTTATCAGAGATCAGTATAAGTCCTGGAGTACTATGTTGAATATCCCTTCCCAAATTGGATTTCATTAATGATGATCGCTATGCTAGCCCTCCACAGACACGGCCGATTCCTTTGTGACTTTTGGCCAGGAGTTCTGCAGCGTGGTTGCATGTTGGAGGGAACAGAGTTTCTTTTGATCAGATTTTGAATTCCCCAACTTTTCCCTGTGTTCCCATGTTACAAAAGCAGGTGCTCCAGTGAGGAAGGCTTGTTGGCTTATTGATCAAGGTAGGGCCTAGGAGCTCTGCTCAAGATTTAAACCCCATTATGCTAGGTGCCAGACAGATGGATACAGAGAAATCCCAATCCACATGACAGATGGATTTGGGAGGACAGAGTAGCAATAAAACAAGCAGAGGCCTCAGCTCTCTGTTCCCTTTCAGTCTCAGATCACTGGGGTATGTAAGGTGGCAAAAGGAGGCAGGGAGAACAAATCTGGGCTGGACTAGGAGAGGGGCCAGCACTAACATATTCTACCTCCTGCAGAAGGCGACCCCAAGAATTACCTTACATATTACAAGCGAGCGACTATCTACTTGGCCATGGGCAAGTTCCGCTCGGCACTGCCCGACCTGTCAAAGGCCATTGAGCTCAAGCCGGACTTCCTAGCCGTAAGTCACACTCACTGTTCTCACCTCTGACTTGTGGGGATATTAACTAATGGAAGGTTATTTTTGCTGCCACATGCAGTGTGATTGAGAGGCTGCTGCTGTCATGGGGGATGCGGCTGTGTCCCTTTTGAACTGGGATGACTTGGTCCTCCAAAGACGTTGCCGCTTCTCCATGTGGAACAGCCCCCATGGCTGCTGATCTTTTACTGGCAGATCTGGTTGGGAATTGCTCAATGGAGGATTTGTTTGTCAGAAAAAAACCAGTCTGTTCACAGCTGACAGAAAACCACCCCAGAGTCAAATTCCCACTTCCAGATCCCATGCAGTGATATAACCCTGGGGTTATCAAGTCAGGCTCTGAAGGAATACTGAGGTACGTTCCCAAAGTGGGGAGGTTGGCTGTAGTCAAGGGGGTCAGTGCACTCAGTTTGTGAGACTGAGATTCGTAGAGTCTCAAGGCCAGAAAGACTCCTTGTGAGCACCTAGTCTGAGCACCTGTGTAATAAACACCGGAGAACTTCCCCAAAATACTGCCTGGTTGAACCTTAGAAGATCTCTTCAAGATACATCTGGTGGTGATTTAAACACACCAGAGAAGGTCAGTGGTTTCAGCTGTTAGATACCCTCACTGTTAAAAGATACCCTCACTGTTAAAAGTGTAAGCCAGTGGGTCCCTCCCAACCTGTGGTCTGTGGACCCCTGGTGGTCCATGACAGTATTGCAAGGGGTCTGTGGAAAGTTTAAAAATAAGGATCGGGCCCACTGAGGTAGGCCCAATCCTTACTTACTTTTTCTTTTTTCTTTTTTTTCCCTCCCCCAGGGAAGGGGGAGTGGGTCTGTGAAATTTAAACGATTGAAAAAGGGTCTGTATGCTCAAAAAGGTTGGGAACCACTGGTGTACGATTTATTTTCAGTGTGCATTTTCCATCTGCAATATCCAGCCATTGAGCTGGTTAGACCTTTGTTTGCTATCCGTGGTTATCAACCAGGGGGACACACAGCCATGGGGCGGACGTAGAGGTCTTCCAGGGGATATATCGACTTATCTAGATATTTGCTTAGTTTTACAACAGGCTACATTCAAAGCCCTAGCAGAATCAGGACAAACTAAAATTTCATACAGACAGTGTCTTGTTTATATTGCCCTATGTACTGTACACTGACATGTAAGTACCAGTTTAAATTCCATGGTGAAAATGAGACCGTCCTCAGTTTTTCGATATTGGTGTGGCTGTGTTGCTTTTGTATTTTTATGTCTGATTTTGTAAGCAAGTCATCTTTAAGTGAGGTGAAACTTGGTGGTATGCAGGACAAATCAGCCTCCTGAAAGAGGTGCAGTTCTTAAAGCTCTAATCAGTTGGTTAGTCTGGGAGTTCTCTCTCCCCCATTCTGCCTGAGCTCAGACACAGATGTTTATAATGATTTGCTGCTAGCACTGGTTCAAAAGCAGCTTGGCTGAAATCGTGTTGACACAAAGACATCAGTAGCATTGTCCTTCTCCTTTCCTGGCCAGAGCAAGAAAGGTAAGGCACATGACTGGGAGAGCTCAGTGGATTCACCCCACTGCCTCCCTGGTTGGCCTAAGGCCAGTCCCAGCCCTTCTCTGTGACTCACTTTCCCTCTCTGGGGTAATGACATTCCCTGTCTGGGATTAACCTGGGACTGTGAATTGCATTGATATGTTAGGAAGTGAGGTGCAACAAGAAGCATGAGCTAAAATGTACAGATTTTATTGCTGGCACTCACTAGGGTCTTGAAAATCTGGCTGCCTATTTTTCTTCTCCCTAAATATGGTATTTCTGGCCTGGATTTTCAAGGTACACCACTGAAAACAGGGCTGGAATTTACAAACAAGAAGCAATTTCAGGGCAGTTCTCTGCCTTGTGCTCAGATGGTCACAATAGTTCTTTGTTGTCATAGAATCGGTGATCCTGCCCTTCTTTGCATAACACTTTGAGATCTACAGGTGCAAGTGCCACGGAAGAGGTACCTGTTGTTACTGATAGCGTCCAAGGCCAGAGGAGAGCTTTGTCAACTGGTCTCACTTTCTGCATAAGGCAGGCTAGAGAATTCCCTGAACTAATTCCTCTTTGAAGTAGAGCAGGCCTTAGAGGGGACGTCTACACGACAATAAAAAACTCACAGCACCGAGTCTTGGAGCAGCTGGCTTAGGCTGCAGGCAATCATGAAGGATTTTAGAGCCTCGGCTCCAGCCTGACTCTGAATGTCTATGCTCCTGGTTTTAGCCCTGTGAGCCTGAGTCAGTCGAACTGGGCTGATCCCACAGCATACATCTACCCTTTGAGGAAATGGCTGATTCTGATTTTAAAAGTCACTTTAGCTAGATTTTTTAAAAGGAGAATGCCTTTAAAAATCTAGCACCGGGGGGTCAGGAGGTTATTACAGGGGGGTTGTGAGTTGCCAGCCTCTGCATGCTGGGGAATACAGAGAACTCTGTGCGCCAAGCTGCCAGCCTGAGCCCTTCAGAGATGGGTGACTGGAGAGGAGTAGCTGCTGCTCAGATTTGAAGGTAGCACTGCATCTAACAGCGGCACAGAAGTTGCTTTTGTGGGTAAGAATCACTTCATCAGGTGCATGGAATGGAAATATGTATTAGCATAGAAGGAAGTTACTTATCAAGTGTCTATCTGTATCTATGCACGTCTTTTGGGGGGCTTGAAATATTTTCATAGGGAGTCCCAGCAAAAAAAATTTGAGAACCCCTCCACCTCACTTTTCCTGATTGTAAAACGGATAATGACGCTAAATCTTCTCTGGAATGTGCTCCGAGGTCCACAGATGAAAAGTGCTGGAAAAGAGCTGGGTATGAAACAAAAGGGCCTAGATGGCCTAGCCACAGAGGATCGTATCTTGGGTACTCTAGGAAGGATCTCCTGGAATCAAACTTTGGACATCCATTGTTAGAGACCTTGTTGGCAAAACGTGGTGGCTATTAGGGCCCTGATTCAGCCAGGCGCATGAGCACAGGCTGCGCTGCCTTTTGCAACAGACCATGCTTAAGCATTAAGAACTGTGCTTTGATTGACGGCACCAATTTGAATCTGTGGTTGCCAGAGTCTTTTGCTGCTCTCACCCTGGAAATCTGCTCTGTATTCACTCCAGGCCAGGTTACAGCGGGGCAACATTTTCCTGAAACAGGGTAATACAGAGGAGGCCAAACAGGACTTTGAAGCCGTGGTGAGTGCCATGAGAAGAGACCCCCAAGGTTGGCCTCGGAAGGCATGGGAATGGAATGTCTTGTGGTTGGGGGGGAGGGGAGTTTCCAGAAGCAGCTCTGCGGAATCTAAGCAGCCTGAGCTGATGTTCTGGCTTTGCTGCATTATGTTGTGTAGCATCACCCCTCCCTGCCATGGCATTGCCGCCCACCCTGTTGCTTTCCCCCCTGCTGTGCTGCCTGCCCAAGTGCAGAGGGATCTCTGAAAAGATGTTTGTCTGCAGCCCCCCAGTGCAAAGATACAACGTTCCCTCTAATCTTTTCCACCCATGTGTGGATTTTTTCCATCCTGGTGCAGAATACATTTTTTGCATGCATCAAGGCATGTGTGAATGTGCACCACCAGGGAACACTAGTTACAGGCCCATCTGCCTGCGTATCTGTCTTCTGGTGGGCACTGGTTGGAGAACTTTGCTAAAGGGCCACCTTTGGGCATCTGGTGATCCTTGTTGGTTTTTTCTCCTTCACACCCCTCCAGCTGCAGAGTGATCCCAGCCACAAGGAGGCTCAGAGCCAGTTAGCTAGACTCACTGAGTTGGAAGTGTCCATGCAAGAAGCCCAGGCAGCTTATCAGAGAACAGACTACTCGGGAGCCATCAGGATCCTGGAGCAAGCCATTGAGGTATCTGTCAAGAGGCGGTTGCTTGTGGGGATCACACCATTTCTGAGAGTAGGGGAGTGTCGCTCAGTTGCCCAGGGACGCTGCTGGCCAGTGCTGTTACAATGGTCCTTTGTAACCTAGTCAGACTACATCTCTCCATGTTATATCTAGGTCGTCACTCTTGCGGAGGCAAAGCAGTGCATCATGGAATTTGTAGTTCCACTACCTCATGTCCCTGCTCTCTTCCATGGGATGGCCTCCCTGGACTGATTGTGGTGCCTCATAGGAGGCACAGTCAGGGCTCCCTTGATGTAGTGCTGAGGGTCAGCAAGCAGGAGAATGTCATGTCTCATGGGGGTTGTAGTTCAGTTGCCACACAATTCACTTCACCTCTGTAGGCAAGGCTCCCCAGCCAGACTACATCTTCCATGATGCACAACGCTCACGGATTCCCATGATGTACCTCATCCTACAAAAGGGGAGACTGCAGTGCATCATGGGAGATATCTGCCCGATAGAGATCAATGGGAACATAAATCAACCAAACTACATTTCCCATGGTGCCTTGTAATTTCCCCTCTTGGAGAAGGGGGGGTAGGGCATCATGGGAGATGTAGTCCAGCTAGTAAGCCAGGCCCATAGCAGAGAATGGGGACATGAGGCATCCAAACTACAGTTCCCACAGGGCAATGTGGCAACATTTTCAAATTGAAATATTTCAGGGGGTTTGGCCTAAATTTGGAGGAATTTTGAGCAGTGAGATTTTTAACCAAAAATCAACTTTTTTCCATGGGGAAGCAGATGCTTTTGACAAAAAAGTTGTCAATCTCGCAGTTTATACCAAAACCCAACAAATTGTGAAGGTACCCAGCATCTTCCTTGTGCAGTGAACAAGCACCCAACAATTCAGGAAAGTCTTTGGGTCAGTCTGGTCCCTGGGGTGCCCCCTCAACTCTGAGCATCTGCTGCTCTGAGGTGTGCCGGATTTAAGGCCAGAAAGACAAGTGGACCAGAGTCAGGGTGGCAGCAGTGGGTTGTTTATCTACAAGCCAGCTCCATTTTCAATCTCACATCTGCCTACCACGACCTGGGCTGGCTGAGGCCCAGTGTGGGAGCTTGAGGAGGTGAGCATGCACCAAGGGCAATTGTGCAGGAAAACTGGGGCAGTGGATGAAGCTGGGAGTAAGGGATGCTGGGCATTGGGATCTTGGAAGTGTGCTCTAGTCCCCCTGCTGCCTTATTAAAATGCCAGAGGGATCTTGAGCAAAGGGGATGGTGGGTCTCCCTGGACTTGGTTCAGGTCCTGCTTCAGTTTCCTCGCTGCCCACCCATGCACCATGAAGTCCCCTTTCCCTTTCATCAGTCCAGGCACATAGAGTCCTGCTGCCCAGCCCCTTCCTCGGACTGATGCTGTTTTACACACAGGACGTGGCCTCGCCTTTCTCCTCACTTTTGGATTCTTCTTTCCTGCTGTGCCGGGGGCTTGGAAAGGCCGGATTCTGCCCCGTAAAGTTGCAAAGTTGGCTCCAGCACTGGCCATCCCAAGAGAGGGAGAATGGCAGAGCCGAAGCTGGGCAGGCTTGGTTGGGGGTTGTGTAACGGGCCCTGCCGTGCACCCCAAAGCAGTGTGGCCCCTAGGCACAGACTTGCTTGTGCTCAGGTTTGCTCCCTTGGCCACAGATCTCCCCGTGGGACCCCGAAGCCAAGGAACTACGTGCCGAGTGCTACCTGATGCTGGGCGAATACAACAAGGCCATCCTCGATCTGAAACCCACCACCAAGCTCCGCGCTGACAACCGAGCAGCTTTCCTCAAGCTCAGCCAGCTGTACTATGGCCTGGGGGAGCACGAGGAGGCGCTGGTGTGAGTGGGGGAGGGGAGGAGGCCCTGGCTAGGGAGTGGGGGATCTTGGGGGGGAGGGGAACTCTGGGCCCATCTGCACCCCTAATTCCCACCTCCCCACCAGGTTTCTTGAATCCCTGCCCCAGAGGTGCCAGTCCTCAGGGAGGTGACATTGCCTGCATCAGACATCCTTCCTTAACTTTGAGCCCTGATCATGGACACAGGAAGGGCCAGGGATGTGCTGGGATCTCGGGGAGGGGAGAGGGGGACTGTGACATTGCTGCATCTTCCAGAAACCTGCCCCACCTGTCACCTCTGCCCCTCCCCAGGCAGGTGCGCGAATGTCTCAAGCTGGACCAGGACGACAAGGCCTGCTTTGCCCATTACAAGCAAGCCAAGAAGCTCTCCAAGCAGCTGGAGACAGCCGAGGAGCACGTCAGAGCACAGAGGTGATGACCAGGCCCCTTCTCCCTCTATCCCCATCTCTCCGTCAATCCAGGGGTTGTGAAAGGCCGTTTCTTTCCAGCCAGTGGGCCTTGGCACTCTGAGACCTCTAGGGGGTACCTGGAAATATCCCTCCCCCCCTTCCCGGCCACATGTCTAGGGAGCAGCCCCTGGATTGCCAGAGTCTGGCATGTTGGGGATAGTGGAGGGGCTGAGATGCAGCCAGCTCTGGAGTGGGATGCAGGGGCAATATATATGGGGATCTCCCACCTGGTGCTCAGATGCAGCCATCGCTGGGTGTAGTGCAGGGGCTGATTAAACAGGAATCCATGGGGCATGTGGGGGCATCTTGCCTGCAGCCAAGCACTCGGGGATCTCCTCTTTACAGAGTAGCGCCCACCTTTAGGCTCCCCCTGCACCTTCCCCCTGGAAGCCCTGCCTGGCTTTAGGTCTGGCATATTTTGGCTTTTCCAATATCCTCTGCTGGTGCCAGCCCTGCATTTGGCCCGGTTCCCTTCCCCCACTTTGCCAACTGGTGCCCCGCTGGTGAGTGACGTGTGCTGCTCCCGGGGGACAGGTATGAGGACGCCATTGACAAGTACAAAGCGGCCATGAAGACGGAGCCACAAGTGGAGGTTTACACCACCAAGGCCAAAGCACGCATCTGTCACTGCCTCTCCAAGGTGAGCCCCCTCCTTGTGCTGGCATCTGTCCTGCCTGCCGTGGGGTGAGCTTGTGGGGGCAGGGAAAGGCAGGTAGGAGAGACAAACAGCAGGGCTGGGATGACCCTGTACATGGACGACTCACCCAGTGCTGACATGTGGCTACCTATGGAGTGGAGCACAGGGACTCTATACATGGACTCCTTGCCTGGTCCTGAGATGTGGCCATCTCTGGGGTAGAGCGTTGGAGCTGTATATATAAGGACCCCTTGCCCAGTGCTGAGATGCAGCCTCCAGTAGGGGACAGCAGGGTGCTGAGGAGCAGCCACCTCTCCTAGATTTCATAGCGTTTTGGATAGCCATGGGTAACTCAGGCTAGTGTTTGGGCCACATGACTGGGTTCGCCTTCATCTCAGTGGGCTGCGAGACTGTCCTAACCAAGATGGTCTCCCAGGCTAGAGCCGTTTTTCTAACTGTGCTTGCGTGCCTCCATGCAGGGTAAGCCAACTGCACAGTAGCAGCGCTGTGATTGGCTGCAGAGGGAGCTCATGACTCTCACAGTCAGTGTTGTGTGCAGTCAGCGCGTATCCTGGCTTTATGTACATGTCACTTTAGTAATGCCGGCAGGAGAAAAATACGTGGACAGAAACCAGTAGAATCTGGCAACCCTGTGTGTGGGAAACAGTGAACAAAATGTCTCATGGGCCAGAACTCCAATAAGCCACGTGCAGGCCACTGGTTGCCCAGCACTGATTTGAGGCCAAAAGGTCTCTTTAGAAGATCTAGCCTGATCTCTTAGTCCCAGGCCAGTCCATTCCCCCTGTGCAGAACCTGAAGCCTTCAGCTGGAGTAAAGATTTCAGTCCTCAGGAGGCCCCACCTGTTATGAACCCCAGGCAGAGAATTAAGCAGGGGAGATGAATGGTTAACCAGTTAACTGATAAGCATCACCCTTACCGGGAGATACTTACTGGCTGGTAACTGATGGCCCAACCTGGCCAGAGCAGCCCCTGCCCATTTTTGGGTGTCCGGACCCTGCCTGCCCCTGTTTAAGCGGTTAACTGGTTAAACATAACATTTAAATGGCTAACTAATTAAACAGGATTTTACCTTCCTAATCCATGCCCCATGCAACCCTCTTTTCCAGCCCCTGCCAATCTGACCAGAGCAGAAATTCCTTCCTGACCACCAGTCTGGGGCTGGGTTGAACTCTGAGCTTGTGAGTAAGAACCAGTCAGTTGGGCACCTAGAAAGTGGGTTCTCTGGCCCGCCCCACCCAGTGTCCCACATCCAGCTGTGGCTGATGGCCAGCTCCGAGGAAGGCGAACGCTCAGAATACAGCTGGTCATTTGTGCCTCGGGGAAAAAATCCTTCCTGACCATACAGGCACCTAGCTGAGGCCCTGAAACATGAGACTGGATTGTAATCACAGCAAGTCTGTTCCCCAGGAGCTCTGTCTCTCTCTGCAGTTCCTGTTAGGGTCCCTTTTACAAGTCCTCCTAGCTTTCTCCTGGCTCAATTGCTCTCACGTGCAGGCCCAGTAGACCCACAGGAGCACAGCAGGGTCTGGTCCCGTCCAGCAGGGGGCAGCAGAGACACACAGCAGGGCCCATCTTCTCTAGCAGGGAGACATTACACCAGGCATGTCCAAAGTCCGGCCCGCGGGCCAAATGCGGCCCGCGGTCGGATTTAATACGGCCCCCCGCTTCTCCCGGCTCCCCGGTGCTTTTTTTAACCGGCGCGCTCAGCGCGCCGCTTCGGGTCGCCGCCGCCGCTGCGGTCCCAAACCCTGCCCCTGCACTCCGCTTTGGGGCTGAGAGTGCAGGGACAGCCCCCGCTTCCTCCCCCTCTCCTGGCTCCCCGGCGCTCCTCTGACTGGCGCCGCTTCCGGCCGTGCCGCCGCCATCCATGGCGGCCGCTGCGGTCCTAAAGTCCACCAAGTAGGGCACGTCCGCAGCCCCGCTCCCCCGCTTGGCTACGGGTTCGCCCTGCCCCCGGGCAGCCGTCAGGCCAGCGTGCCCTGCGCTCTCCGCCCGCCTCTGACCCTGCAAGCCCTCTACCTTGGGGCTGAGAGTGCAGGGACGGACTCCGCAGCTGCTGAGATCAGGGACGGACTCCGCAGCTGCTGAGATCAGGGACGGACTCCGCAGCTGCTGAGATCAGGGACGGACTCCGCAGCTGCTGAGATCAGGGACGGACTCCGCAGCTGCTGAGATCAGGGACGGACTCCGCAGCTGCTGAGATCAGGGACTGCCTTTGAACCAGACCTAGCCCGGGTAATTTGGCAATATCTATCTTTTATGGCCCCCAACGAATCCATATGTATTGAGATGAATACATTGTAAAATCTCAGTTAAAGTCAGTTGGTCTAAATCAGTTATAAATATATTTGGACACAACATGTATACTTGGTGTTATGTTCCTGTTCATATTTTTTGAACTTAAAAGTTGACAGACAACCTTTATTACCAATAATATGTAATGTACTTTACAATGTTCCTGACATATATTTCAGCTTCCTGGATTTTTTTTTTCATCTGGCCTTCAGATATGAAAGGCAGAGTGATTTAACACCTGTTTAGATTTGTCATCCATGTGACGAAATGAAAAGTATGCTGTTTGCAATAAACTTTGCATAAAATAGTTAATTTGCATTTAATTTTAATGGTTCAAAGAATGTCAGGCAAAATGGTCGGCCCTCACGCATGTTCACTTCATCAAATCTGGCCCTCTTTGAAAAAAGTTTGGACACCCCTGCATTACACACACACTCTCTCTCTCTCTCTCTCTCTCCATGCACACAGCCTGAAGTCAACATCTTTGTTCTGTGTAAAGGGGCTTTGAAGAGGCCTTTGTATCTAAGCCCCACCTGTGCCAGCAGCCTGAGGGCATAGTGGTATTTACAAAGGTTGTGGGAATCAGTTGGATAAGGAAGAGGCCAGCTGCAAAATCTCTTCATCCCTTTCATCCTTCTCAAAACCACATGCTGGCTCTGAGTAGAGCTTCCGGGAGGAAACTGGATGTTTGCTATTGCTCCATTACACCCCATCCTATGCTCCACTTGCCTGTCTTTGAATGTTCCTATGGTTAGAACTGGTCAGAAATTGGGCATTAATTTCCAGCTGAAAAACTTATCTTTCATTAGAAAAATAAGATTTTTTCCCCCCTCATTTTGACACCTAACACTTTTCTGGTTTTCTGATGGAAAATACAAAATATTCTAGAAAAGCAGAGATTCTTCCTGTGAAACTTTCCTCCCAGTGTTCTCTTGGAGGAGAAACACTTTGCTGGTAAATTATCCAGTAGCCCTACTTGTGCTTGATGGACTAGACTGGAATCAGAACCCCTGGGTTCAATTCCTGGTGCTGCCGCGGACTCTCTGCAACACTGAAGGCAACACATTCAGAAGCTGCTATGGGTACGTTTACACAGCAAGACATTATGTTGAAATAATTTTGAGATGGAGAACTTCTTACTTTGACTCCTGTAACCCTCATTTCATGAGCAGTAAGGGAAGTCGAAGGAAGCAGTGGTAGATTTAGGGCAGGGCGAGCGGGTCGGCTGCCCTGGGCCCTGCGCTTCCTGAGGCCCCGCACATGCGCCGTGTCAAAGGGGGGGCCCACGAAATTTCGCTGCCCGGGCCCCCACGACATACCCAGGGCCCTGCGGCACTCTTAGCCACCCTTGGAAGGAAGTGTGTTCTTTCTTTGACTTCCTGCTATGCAGACAGCGCCAAAAGCCAAATTAAGGTATTTCAACTTAAGAACATAAGAATGGCCATACTGAGTTAGACCAAAGGAGCATCCAGCCCAGTACCCTTGTCTGCCGACAGTGGCCAATGCCAGGTGTCCCAGAGGGAGTGAATCGAACAGGTAATGATCAAGCAATCTCTCTCCTGCCATTCCTCTCCACCCTCTGACAAACAGAGGCTAGGGACACCATTCCTTACCCATCCTCACTAATAGCCATTTATGGACTTAACCTCCATGAATTTAGCTAGTTCTCTTTTAAACCCTATTATAGTCCTAGCCTTCACAACCTCCTCAGGCAAGGAGTTCCACAGATTGACTGCGCTGTGTGAAGAAGAACGTCCTTTTATTTGTATTAAACCTGCTGCTCATTAGTTTCATTTGGTGGCCCCTAGTTCTTATATGATGGGAACAAGTAAATAACTTTCTTTTATTTACTTTCTCCACAGCACTCATGATTTTATATACCTCTATCATATCCCCCCTTAGTCTCCTCTTTTCCAGGCTGAAAAGTCCCAGTCTCTTTAATCTCTTCTCATAAGGGACCCATTCCAAACCCCTAATCATTTTAGTTGCCCTTCTCTGAACCTTTTCTAATGCCAGTATATCTTTTTTGAAATGAGGAGTCCACATCTGTACGCAGTATTCAAGATGTGGGTATACCATGGATTTATATAAGGGCAATAAGATATTCTCCATCTTATTCTCTATCCCTTTTTTAATGATTCCTTACATCCTGTTTGTTTTTTGACTGCCACAGCACACTGCATGGATGTCTTCAGAGAACTATCTACGATGACTCCAAGATCTCTTTCCTGATTAGTTGTAGCTAAATTAGCCTCCATCATATTATATGTATAGTTGGGGTTGTTTTTTCCAATGTGCATTACTTTACATTTATCCACATTAAATTTCATTTGCCATGTTGTTGCCCAGTTACTTAGTTTGGTGAGATCTTTTTGAAGTTTCACAGTCTGCTTTGGTCTTAACTACCTTAAGCAGTTTCGTATCATCTGCAATCTTTGCCACCTCACTGTTTACCCCTTTCTCCAGATCATTTATGAATATGTTGAATAGGATTGGTCCTAGGACTGACCCTTGGGGAACACCACTAGTTACCCCTCTCCATTCTGAGAATGTGCCATTTATTCCTACCCTTTGTTTCCTGTCTTTTAACCAGTTCTCAATCCATGAAAGGATCTTCTCTCTTATCCTATGACAACTTAATTTACATAAGAGCCTTTGGTGAGGGACCTTGTCCACATGTTTGTTGACCCCTTCAAAGAACTCAAGTAAGACAGGATTTGCCTTTACAGAAACCATGTTGACTTTTGCCCAACAAATAATTTGCCCGGTACTGACATTAGACTTACCCATCTGTAATTGCCAGGATCGCCTCTAGAGCCCTTTTTAAATATTGGCATTACGTTAGCTATCTTCCAGTCATTGGATACAGAAGCTGATTTAAAGGATAGGTTACAAACCATAGTTATAGTTCTGCAGTTTCACATTTGCGTTCTTTCAGAGCTCTTGGGTGAATGCCATCTGGTCCCGGTGACTTGTTACTGTTAAGCTTATCAATTAATTCCAAAGCCTCCTCTAATGACACTTCAATCTGTGACAAGTCCTCAGATTTGTCACCTACAAAGGACGGGTCAGGTTTGGGAATCTACCCAACATCGTCAGCCGTGAAGACTGAAGCAAAGAATTCATTTACACAATTGACGTTGCTGAAGTTGCATATCAACTTTTGTCCTGCAGTGTAGACATGCCCTGTCTGATTCAGCTGCCTAAAGGAAGATTGGGGGCCACTCACCCACAGAAAAATCAGTCAGAGGCCACATGCAAGGGAGAAACAAAAAGAAAAAACCCCTCACAGATGTGGCCCCCAACTGAGAAGCAGAAATAAAAGACATTCACCTCACTATCTCAAGCTTCACCTCAGAACCTAGGGGACTGGGGCTAGTAGATTTTGTAGGGCACCCTTAAGCTCTGATGTGGGGACAAAAATGAGGAGTTCAGTGCATGGTAGGGGGCTGCTGGTGAGCAGGCTGGGGTGGGAATATGGGTCTGGGAAGGAGGTAGGGTGCAGGGGTGGTCTGGGTGGAAGGGAGGGTGCAGGAATGAGCTGGGGATGCGAGGTTTGGGCCCACCTATGTGGATGCAGGGCATGGAGGCCGGGCATGGGCGCACCTACCTGGCGGAGCTCCTGGAGGAGCACATGGCTTCGTGCCGCTCTGGGTGCTGCAAGGAAACGTCCCCCACCAGCACCGTAGGAGCAGTGCCTGTAGGGAGCGCTTTCCTGTAGTGCACGGAGCTGCTTCCCCCATGCCAGGCAGAGCCCGTGGGCCAGATCCAGCGCAATTTACCTGAATTGGGCCCATGAGGCTCCCCTCTCACTAGCGCACCAGTCACAGCATCCCTCATTTGGCTGGAATACCAGCTCGTGCCCTTGTGGGGGTCGGAGGTTGAGCCCCGAGCCTTGCATACTAGATCAACGCAAGCTGTGGACAGTAGGTTCCCCATCCCTGCCCTAAAGTGACTGAATTTAAACTCATTGCTTTTGAAAATGGCACCTTGAATTTGTGTGCCTCGGTTTCTCTTGATGATATGGGGAGAGAGTACCCTTTCTTGCATTGCAGGGGGACTGGTGAGGGTGGATCTCTGAATGAATATATGTATAGATAGATAGATAGATAGATAGATAGATAGATAGAGGGGGTGTGGGATGGAGGTAGGATGCAAAAGGGAGCTCAGGGTAAGGGATTGGGGTGCAGGAGGGAGAGTGGGATCTGGGAGGGAGTTTGGGTGAAGGAGGCACATGTGACCTAGGGCAGGGGACTGGGATGGAAGGGGTTGGGTTGTAACCTAGGGTAGGAGAGGATTGTGATCTGGGGCAGAGGATTGGTGTGGGGATATGAGTACAGGAGGGGGGAAGAGGGTATATTAAGTGGAGGGGTAGAGGGTTGAGGAAGGGAGGGGCTGGGCTGCCAGAGGCAGGCTCTGGCCAGGAGACTTACCAGCCAGCAGCCCAACCAACCTGCAGGGCCATGTGCTTGTGTGAATAACTGAGCTGGCGGGAAGGCAGGCATGGTGGTTCGTGTGCTGCCTGCTGTTCAAACGGGCAGCTCCCATTAGCCATTTTCTGGCCAGAAGCTGGCCAATGGGATTATGCTTGGGGTGGGAGTTACACCTAAAGCCTTCCTCCCGCCCCTTTGGGATCACAATTTTTAAAGAGAAACGGTCCTGCAGCTGCTTTTCTGAGCAGTGTGCAGGGCAAGCAGGGGAGCCTGCCTGGGACTTCCCAACAGTGTTCCCTCTAAGATTTTCCATCCTTGGGCAAGTTGAATCTTCTTTTGGGCAGGTTAAAATTTTGTATGTGCCCCACCAATATTGAGGTAGTGTGCGGATGTGTACCCTCCAGTACAAACAAAAACCATAAATATAAATATCTATTTAAATAGTCCAAAGGTGTGGAAGAAAATATATTAAAACAAGGGATAATTAACAAGGAGCAATGCTTATGATTATTTAATATGAAATCAAATAAAAAGAAAATTAACACTAACCTTGGCAGAAGAAGTGGGTTGTGCCCATGAAAACTCCTGACACTATTTATATATTTTGTTAGTCTCAGGTGCTACAGAACCATTGTTTTTTTTAAGGTTTTTTAGTTACAGACTAACATGGCTGCACCTCTGAGACCTTGGAGTACATGTATCATCATCCTTTCTAACCGACAGATGCATGTTTAAAAGATCTTGCAAATAAGGTTTCATCCTACAAAACAGCTAGCATCACACAGCTTGCTGCTTCTGACTGATAAGAGCTAGAACTCTACCAGATAGAAAAGATCTGGCTTTAATGCAATATAATTTACCATGTATTAATTAGTAACACAGGATTTTAAAAAATCCTTAAGATGAGAGTTTTAGATGTCTGCAATACTTCAAAAAAATCTGCTAAAAGAATCTTTCTTTCTTACATTAAGCCATTAACACAGGGTTGGGCAATAATTTTTGATGGGGGAGGGGCCACTCCAAGGATTTGGTAGGTAGTTGAGGCCTGCATTCTTCCATTATATTAATGCAGGAGGTGTAGGGATCAGGGATAGAAGTTGGATGCAGAAGGGAGCTTGGGGCTTGGGATCTGGGAGGGAGTTTGGGTGAAGTAGGGGATCGTGACCTGGGGCAACGGACTGGAGTGAGGATGGGTTGCAGAGCCTGGGAGGGGGTTGTGACCTGGAGCAGGAGTGCAGGGATTTGGGCTGTGACCAGGGATAGCAGAATGGTGTGCAAGGTCTGAGAGAGGGTTGTGACCTGAGGAGGAATGTAGGAGGGGATGCAGTGACTGGGAAGGTGTCTAGGGGATAAAGCAGGGGAGCAGAAGGTTTGGGTTACTTGGGGTAGGAGGGAAGAAGGGATGGAGAGGATGGGGGGGAAGAAGGGAGGAGCTTGGGTGCCAGAGATAGGCTCTGTCTGGGAGAACTTACCTGGCTTCACACCAGCAGCTCAGCAGGTTCCTTAGCCAGGGTCCTTGCCTTTCCACCCCTGTACATGCTCAGGGGAGCTGCAGGAGCTGTGTTTATTGCTCTAATCTAAACTGAATCCTGTGAGCCCGGGGGATGAGGAATGAGGGGCAGGTCACATGTTGCCTGTCCTGCAAACAGGCTGCTGCTATTGGCCGAAACTGACCAATAGGAGCTGCTGGGGCAGCATGAGAAACCTGTCTCCCCTCCCTCCAGGCTCTCAGCATTCACAAACACACACATGGCCCTGTAGCCAGCTTTCTGGAGTGTCAAGCAGGAGCAGGGCAGGCAGGGAGCCAGCTGGGGCTTTCGCAGCCGGATCCAGCCTGTAGATCATCTTTTGCCCAGCCCTGGAGTAGAGGGTGGAGCCTGCTTTTCCATTTATAGAAGGCAGCAGAATTGTGCGGGAGGGAAGGTTGCATGGATTTGTTTGCGAGGCAGCAGTGGCAGGATGGGAGAGGAATCTCAGCTCTGGGTGAGGCAGGGACCATTCACACTGACATGGGGCTGGGGTTAGAACATGTGAGCACCATGCGCAACAGTGCAATTTCTTTGTCTCCCTCACATGCACCCACACATCGAGTTTCCCCCCCGAGACACCTGCACCACACCAGAGTGTTCCCAGTGTGACTAATGCAGCTAGATCAAGATGCGCGGTGTGTGTAGGAGACGAAATTCGCACCTGGGCAGCCCTCAAGGAGAGAGGGCCGTGGGAGAAAGAGAGGGCAGTGAGGCACATTGGTAGAATAGTGAGCATGTGTCAGAGCACATCCTGGAGGAGAAGGCATGTGCCTGAGAGGAGGGTTAATGGGGGACATCCTGGAGAAAGTGGGGACATGGGGCAGCATGGGCATGTCCCAGAGAGGGTTTGGGGTATGTCTGGGGTGAGTCTGTGGATCTCAGCCCAGAGAGAATGGGGTGAGCTGTCGGGGAGCCAGTGGGGTATGTCTTGGAGAGGGTGGGAGACTTGTCCCATAGAGTGGGGGACATGGGTCTTGGAAATAGTGATGGTGCATATGTGGGTAGTTGGGCATGTCCTGGATAGATTAGGGGTGTCCCGTCCCCCCCCCCGGGGAAAGAGGCATGTCCTGGGGGGCAGTCACAGAAAGGGTGGGGTGCTGTTGGGTGTGTCCCAGAAAGGGGTGAGGAGTATCCTGGGGGGGTGCAGAAATAGAGAGGGATGGAACAGTCCTACAATTGCAGCCTGACCCACCTCTCCTCCCCCGCCAGAGCAAACAACCCCAGGAGGCCATTGACGTTTGCACAGAGGCTCACCAGCGGGACCCACATAACATCTTCATCCTGCGCGACCGGGCTGAGGCCTACATCCTGAATGACGAGTTCCAGAAAGGTAGGGTGCAGGAGCAGCTCCCGCCCTGCACTGCTGGCGGGGACCGGCCCGCTGGCTGGAAAACTCCCAGCAGCCAGGCTGCAGGGCTCAGAGCAGGTCTCTGACCGGCCTTTGTTTGGGAATGTTCAGGAGACTTGACTCAGCCTGCCTGGATCAGGGCCAGCTCAGGAGCAAAGGCAGAGCCGTGTGCCCTCTGTGCATTATACCTGTGTGGTTTCGCCCCATCCTCCCGGCCACCACCAATGCTCTACTTCAGCACAGCCCTTGGGGAAGGAGTCGCTCCTTGCTGGCCACCCTGCTATCGACCTGGGCAGTGCGGCCTCGTGGCTTGAGCCCTGCCTGGGAGTCAGGATCCTGGACTCTCCCAGCTCTGGGACAAAGAGTGGAAACTAGGAGGTTTGAACAGGGGTAGGTCTGGGTAGCTGGACTACCGGTTTTGTTGTAGGGCTGGTGTGTGTCTGGGGATGAGTGAGGCAGGAAGATCTGGGAGCCAGGAGACCTGGATTCTGTCCCACACAGGAGGGGAGTGTTGTGGCATAGAGTGGGAGTCTGGGAGCCAGGATCTCCTGGGTTCTCTCCCTGACTCTGCCCTGCTAAGTGGAAAGTCCGTTCTTTTCCCTTTCTGATCCTTTGTCTGTCTAGTGGAGCAGGAGCCTTTAGGCGCTGCTGTTATCCAAACAGTGATTAATAAAGTTAAGAGCCCGGGTGACTTGCAAGGAGATCCCTCGTTAGGAACATCGATGTTTTTGTGCGGGTCAGTTTCATCGGGGTCAGCCACCTTTGTTCCGGACCCTGACCTGAAACTGACTTGAGTTGATCTGAAACAGCTCAGAACTTAGCCGGGGAAAAAAGATGGAGGGGGAATTTACTCACAAAAAATTCCCTGATAATTGGGTGCTATTTGTTTTTGTCTACATTTTTCAATGGAAAATCTTTTTTAAAATGACAGAAATCAGGACTGGGATAATTTCTGATGGAATATGGGAGAAAAAATTGATTTGGATATGCAATTGTGATACCTCCTGGATGATCTAGTTTGAGGGCTGGGATCCCGTGTTGGACTGCATGTCCCATGATGCACTGCAAACACTGCTCTTGGAGATGGGAGACATTGTAGTTTGGGTTCTTTGAGTTGGGAGTGCCTGGTTAAACATGCCCTGGCACACAGCATAATCTGCTTTCTTCAGGATGGGGAGTGGGGCAGTGTGTGAGCTGTATTTTGATGCGTAATGCTCCCCTCATTCTCTACATAGGCTGAGCTCCACCTCCCATGATGCATTCTGCCGGGGCTCCCATAATACAGTGTTGTGGCCCAGCAGGAGGCAAGACCATGATGTAACATGGTACTTGGGTGCCTCATGACCTCAGTTAGGCTATATTTCCCATGATGCATCCACATCTGCCTTCTTCGAGATGCGATGCACCAGGGAACCCCATCACTGTGGTGCATCATGGGAGCTGTAGTTTGCCTAAAGCATGAAGCTCACAGAGAACATAAGAGCAGCCACACTGGATCAGACCAAAGGTTTATCTAGCCCGGTATCCTGTCTTCCAACAGTGGCCAGTGCCAGATGCCCCAGAGGGAGTGAACAGAACAGGTAATCATCACATGATCCCTCTCCTGCCATCCATTGCCAGCCTCTGACAAACAGAGGCTAGGGACACCATTCCTACCCATCCTGGCTCATAGCCATTGATGGACATATCCTCCATGAATTTATCTAGTTCTTTTTTGAACTCTGTTAAAGTCCTGGTCTTCACAACATCCTCTGGCAAGGAGTTCCACAGGTTGACTGTGCGCTGTGTGAAGAAAAACTTCCCTTTGTTTGTTTTAAACCTACTACATATTAATTTCATTGGTGATCCCTGGTTCTTATTATGGAAACAAGTAAATATTTTTCCTTATTCACTTTTTCTACATCAGCCATGATTTTATGGACATTTATCTTATCCCCCCTTAGTCTCCTCTTTTATAAGATGAGAAGTCCCAGTCTTTTTAATTTCTCTTCATATGGGACCTGTTCCAAACCCCTAATCATTTTTGTTGTTTTTTTCTGAACCTTTTCCAATGCCAATATATCTTTTTTGGGAAGAGGCGACCACATTTGTACGCAGAATTCAAGATGTAGCTGTACCATGGATTTATACAGAGGCAATAAGATATTTTCTGTCTTATTTTCTACCCCTTTTTAATGATTCCTAACATTGTTTGCTTTTTTGACTGCTGCTGCACACTGAGTGGATGTTTTCAGAGGATTATCCACAATGACTCCAAGATATCTCTCTTATGTAGTTGTAGCTAAATTAGTCCCCATCATATTGTTTGAATAGTTGGGATTATTTTTTCCAATATTTATTAACATTAAATTTCATGTGCCATTTTGTTGCCCAATCACTTAGTTTTGTGAGATCTTTTCAAAGCTCTTCACAGTCTGCTTTGGTCTTAAATGGAGATACAGGGCAACCAAACTACATCTCTCATGATGAACCATGATCACCTCTTTTTAAGAGACAATGCAAAAACAAAAGTTAACTGTTGCGCTAGTGCATCTTGGGAGATGCCCAGCCACAGAGTAGAACCAGGCACAGGAAGGACCCAAACTACAAGTCCTAACAGCAGGGAGTGCCTGGCAGTTGGCATCAAAGGCTCTGGGCTGGTCCCGCCACAAAGGGAGCCATGGTGCTGGGCGGTAATTGACCAGGGGATGAGGGTTGCGCTGTGAGAAGTCTGGTCCTGGGGCATGGCATGAGGTAGCTCTGCTTGGTTCACAGCGGTGGAGGATTACCAGGAGGCCAAGGAGTTTGATGGGGAAAATGAAGAGGTGAAGGAGGGGCTGGAGAGAGCTCAGAAGCTCCTAAAGCAGTCAAAGAAGCGCGACTACTACAAGATCCTGGGGATCCGGAGGTGAGTGTCCACACGTTTCATCTACCCATCGGCTGGGCCGGGAACACAAGAACGACTATATAGAATCAGCCCAAAGGTCCATCTAGCCCGGTATCTTGTTTTCCAACAGTGGCCTGTGCAAAGTGCCCCAGAGGAATGAATAGAACAGAGAATCATCAAGTGATCCATCCCCTGTCACCCAGTCCCAGCTGTTGGCAAACAGAGACTAGGGACCCCATCCTTACCTACCCTGGCTAATAGCCATTGATAGACCTACCTTCCATGAATGTATCTAGCACTTTTTTGAATCTTGTTATAGTCTTGACCTTCACAACATCCACTGGCAAGGAGTTCCACAGGTTGACTGTGTGTTGTGTGAATAAATATGGTCTTTTGTTGGTTTTAAACCTGCTGCCTATTAATTTCATTGGGTGACACCCCCCCCCCCCAAGTTCTTGTACTATGGGAAGGAGTAAATAATTCTTCTTTTTTCACTTTCCCCACCCCAGTCATGATTTAATAGATCTCTATTATATCCCCCTTCAGTTTCTTTTCCAAGCTGAAAAGTCCCAGTCTGATTAATCTCTCCTCACATGGCAGCTGTTTCTTACCCCCTCATCATTTTTGTTGCTTTTTTCTGAACCTTTTCCAATGCCAAGGTATCTTTTTGGAGATGAGGCAACCACGTCTGCACCATCTCCTATATATCTGGGCGAACCATCCTATATATTTGAGAGAGTTTGTCTGTTTGACTGTGTCCAACTGTCTGTCTGTCCAAGAACTCCTAAATGGTAAGATCTAGGGCCACCAAGTTTGGTAGGCAGCTTCCTCTTAAAGCAAAGTAAGGATTGGGTTGTGCCAGGAGACCAGGATGTGCCTGGAATGGGATAGTTTCTCATAAAACCAAACAAAAAAGAGACCGAATCACCAGGCAAGTGAAAGGGGCTGGCTGGGGGTGCCCCTCCTCCATCAGAGACTGCCACAGCCCAGATCCTCCCGCCCACCAGGCACCGTTTGCTGGGGGTCTCAAGCGCCTTCACCCTGATTCATCCAGGAACATTGCTGGCTGTTGGCCCTTGTCAAGGAGCAAGGGGAAAGCGCACCGTTTGCTTAGTTCCTCACTCTGGGGAGGGCGGGGGCAGACAAACCTGGACCTGCCCCAGCTGAGGAACATGCCTCCCTCCCCTAGCTGTGCCCGCTGGAGCTGCAGTGGCCATGAAGAGGCGCTTCTCCCCTCGCCCCACGCTGCTGTGGGAAGAGAAGGTTGAAGTAGTCCTTTCTCCACGGGGCAGCCTGCATACTGAAGCCCTCACCCCCGCCCCACTCCAGAGCAGTGATTTAAATGAAGAAAAACAATAATTAATGAGTCAAGGTTCTGAGTAACGCCTGGTAAATCTTCTAATGAAACTATAGAGGAGCTTATTCGTATTCTTGATCCCTTTCCTAACCATCCCCGACATGCTGTTTGCTTTTCTGACGCAGTGCCTGTGGGGAGGGGGCTGGGGGCTTGGACTGGGGCTGCTCCTGGG